CACGACGCTTCAAGAAAGTACTAAAATTTCAATAACTCAATTGAATGGTCAAATGATATTGGATTCAAGTGATTTTTTGTAGAGATAATCTTTGAATGAGTATCTACAAAATAGATGGTATGAATTAGTGAAATACAATCCGGAGTGGGCCCTACAAGGGGTGTCCCTCAAATAAGCTTATTTGAGGGATCCCTCAATGGAAGCTCTCTGTATATATATACAGTCTTCTTCTATTGAGGGATCCCTCAAATAATTTTATTTGAGGGATACCCTTTAGGGTACCCTACAATTTTTTTCCCAATGATCCAAACCATCTATTTTTTAGGTCTTCTGTCATAGATCATCCTTACAAAAAATTAGACAAATCGGAAACCGTTTCGACGTCCAATTGTGTCTTACAAAATCAATGAATACGGTTCTTCAAGAAAGTACTAAAATTTCAATAACTCAATTGAGTGGTCAAATGATATCGGATTCAAGTGATTTTTTGTAGAGATGATCTTTGAATGAGTATCTACAAAATAGACGGTTTGGATTAGTAAAATACAACCCGGAGTCGGGCCTACAAGGGGTGTCCCTCAAATAAGCTTATTTGAGGGATCCCTCAATGTAAGCTCTCTGTATATATATATATATATATATATATATATATATAAGAAATATCTATTGCGCAAATGTATATATTGCTGACTTGACTTGAATGGGTCAAACGGCTTGAAACATCCATTACTAATGGATTACTCGTTTGTAGTTTAAGTGGTTAAAAGCATTTACTCTAAACTTTAAGGTTCTATGTTCGATTCTCCCTCCCCTTTTATCACTTGTAAAAAAAAAAAAAAAAAAAACCAAAATTCTCATAATTAGCCTTCAACAACAACAACTAGGTTTATGTCAGGAGCTTTCCTCAAGGTGTCAGCAATGGAATTAAGGCCTTTGGAATCAATCATTCTTTAGGGATGCCAATGAAAACTGTTTCAGAGTTCATTTCGAAAGTCTTAAACGCTTGTTATTATGGAAATGTAGCGACGAAGACAATATATATTATTTGCCAGTGCCAATTTCAATACCGAAACCACAAAAGAGATACAACGACTTTGCGTTTCTTTTCCTGGTAAAATAAGCGACACTTGCCAAGATGCAGTATTAGTTTTTATCCTTTCGAGGAGAAAGATGCATTATTATAGTTGAACAAGTGTTAATTTGTCATCAGTGAAATGTGCGTACACGTATTCATTGACCAGATTTCGCAAGACGACTGGTTCAACTTCAACCTATTTGTAAGAATGCATAATTTATTAATGATGGATCTTTCAAGCCCGTCCACGGTCCACCCACAAAAGTCGTCGACCACACTTTGATTTGTAAGTTGAATAATGGGTTTTTCATATATAAGAAAATGATATACTCTTATTGCTTTATATAATTTTCATAATTTGTAAAAAGAATAATTAATAATTTATAGTAATTGCATTACCCCATGAACTTCAAACCCCTCTCTCTCTCATCTACACATAATACTAATACGCGAGTTAACTTACTAAATTTAAGGTATGTTAATAATACGCAAATTAGTTTATTAGATTCAAAGTATGTTAAGAAAAAAAATGCGTGCCAACTTTCAAATTTTGTCTAACTTGAACGTAGAAGATGAATTAATCATGTTGTAACCATCAAATGTGACCTATATATAACTTCAACCGCGTTCTTTGTAAAATTCCAATCATGATTCATATTCAACCTGCATTTGCGTGTGTATACATGACGTATTTGAACCTCCATGATCAACTGTATTGGAAATTGTGGTGAACATCCACTTGGCATTATAAACAAAGATAAAAATGTTAGACAAAAGTTTAAAGGATTTTCAAGTCTGAGGAGGATAATGACACTTTTTTGATGACGTCCCTTCACGACTAGTTGACTTAATTAGCAGTTTTTCGAACCAAAAAAAAATTATTTGTTGACTTAGTAGTCTAATTAGTTTCTATTTTAGAAGTTAATGTCCAAAATACCCTTAGACTACTGTTTATGGGATTTACACAGTCGTATTGATTTGGATTAAATAATAATTAAGCTCCAAACTTAGAAATTTTACCTATATATTACATATGTTGAGAGTATTTTATCCTACGTTGAAAAGTTAAGATAACTAATGGACTTATAAGTAGGTTACTTTCTCTATACCAATTGATTTTTGGTTGGAACCTAAATTTTGTTGATGATACTAGAGCAATGTTATCTTGTAAGGAGTTGTGGGCTACTCATTGCCAATTAGGCTTCGTTGCGACACATTGTGACTGGTATCAATCTTCTTTTCTTGCTTCCAAACTTCATGTACAAATGGTGAGCCAATTCCAACACATTGTATATATGTATGTCACATACCAATATTCTTTTTTTTTTTGGGCATCAAATAGGGGTAGGGGAATTCGAACAAGAGAGCTTCTTTAACATTGGGAAGTAAGCTAGTTGGTTTGCATATAAAGATTTGAAATTTCTAATTACATCCATGAGCTATATAATTCATGTGGCACTGGGGATGGGAAGGGGGTAGATCCTATAATAAACCAAAAAAAACAAAACAAAACAAAACAAAACAAACAAAAAAAACAAGAGAAGAATACAACTAGACCCCTAGACTCAAAATATTAAATTTGGATAGTGTGTAAACAGAATTATTTATTCTCACCAGGACTTATTTACTTTGAAAAGTAAACTTAGATATAAAAAGACAACGAAGTATTTTAGAAAAATACAACTAGACCCTAGAAAACCCTATATATATATAATGCTGTCTCTGAAAACAAATACGTATCTTATTGCCCAAGTACTATGATGTCGTGGGTATTCAAACAATCCCTCTGGGCACTGCTTGGTGGTATTGCTCTTATGCTCCTAGCTCATGCCCAGGATCAATCAGGTATATAATATATATGCATGTTTCCAGTGAGAAAATAGAGTTGATCTTAATTGGTATATAATTCTCATGCTTTTTCCCAGGCTTCGTAAGTATAGATTGTGGTCTAGAGCAAAGTCCCGGCTACATAGAAAGAATTACCGGCATTTACTACATTTCAGACTCCTCTCTAACAGATACAGGAGACAGGAAGTCCATATCGCTCGATTACAGAGATCAATATACACGGCCCTTCTGGTTCCTTAGGAGCTTTCCCCAAGGAACCAGAAACTGCTACAGCATACGCCTTACGGGCGGCAATAAATATTTGATCCGAGCAAGCTTCGTGTATGGTAATTACGATAGCCAGAAAAGTAATTTACCAGAATTTGAACTACATCTTGGAGCTACTTTGTGGGATTCAGTGGCGTTTTCGAATGCGTCCAGCATCACAATCAAGGAGCTCTTGCATACCCCTGCGCAAAACCATATACATATTTGTTTGGTCAACATCGGCACTGGGGTTCCGTTTATATCAGCAATCGAACTCAGGCCTTTACCCACAACATCTTATCCA